GAGGCCCCCCATGTCTGACCTGCGTTGGCCGTGCAGCTCAGCAGCGACTCCAGCACTGCAGAGAAACTCGGGTTAGTCGGACTCACTAAAGGAGGGTTCCACCGTGGACTGATCCCAGGCCCCGCACAGGCTGCCCCCCCACTGCCTGAAGCAGGACTTCAGCCCCCCCGGCTATCCCCCAGAGCCCCACAGGAAGCTGCTAAAGCTTAGCTTAGCTTAGCTTAGCTTCGCTGTAAAATGCTAAAGCTCCGGCCAGCTCAGCTGAAAGCTTAGCTTAGCTTAGCTGTAAAATGCTAAAGCTCCGGCCAGCTCAGCTGAAAGCTTAGCTTAGCTTAGCTGTAAAATGCTAAAGCTCCGTCCGGCTCAGAGCCACTTACAGAGCAGCCAGAGCACAGAAGAGTCCTCCATCCTGCCGGGGGTCGGAGAGGAACGTCCTTATCAGAGGAATGAATGAATGAATCAGAGGAATGGAGGATTGTGGGCTCTCGGCGGCCGAAGGAGCCGGGCGAGGGCGAGCGGGCCGCTTCACTTCCTGGAGAGGAAGGATGTTCAGAAGCTGCTGCTTCCCCCTCAGCCTCCACCAATAGCAGCCCGGCAGGAAGCCCGAAGGGTTCAGGCTCCGCCCGCTCTGACGGGTGGAAAGTTACCCCCCCTCCGGCCTCTGTGGGGCCCTGCAGGGGGATCAGGTGACCTGGTGGTTGGCAGAGGTGTGAAGCTGGGGGCCACAGAGGCCTTTGCTCCGACATCAGAGCCTGAAAGCAGCCGGAAGCTTCCTGTTGGTTAAACTCTGACAGAAACACCAACATCTGAGCCTCTGATCCAACTAGAGTCCAGAGAATCAGAGTTTCTCCTTTTTCCTCCAGAACCAGCTCTGGTTTTCTCCTAAAGACTCTGAAAGTCCTCTAACTTTATTCCAGAGCTGCAGGAAAAAGCCAGAAAGCTTCTCCTCTGAACCTGAAACAGGTTTCCAGTCTCTTTTAAAGTAATTTTACACACAAAATAGACGTTCCAGCTCCATTTAATGAGCTTTTTCTGGATAAACAACAACATCTGATCCACCAGAGTCCAGAGAACCAGAGTTCTGCTGCTTCTCCTCCAGAATGAGGCTTCGCTTGCTGGATCAGCGCTGTTCTAGCATCCAGAAATAAAGGAAACTTTGCACCGACCAAACAGGACCGGTTCATTTTAAGGCTCTTTGTGTCTGGTTGCAGATGTGAGCAGCTGTTTAGCAGCTCGGCGTTTCCTTTCCCTGCTCAGAGCTCTGGGCAGTGAGGAGCTGCACATTTCCAGGGACCCAGAACCACCTTTACGGCCTTGATTTCTGTTTAAACTCGTCTCAGACGTTCAGTTTAACGCTCTCTGCTGCCCCCTGGAGGTGACCTCCTGACCCTGCTGTTTACGGCTGGTCCTGTTAAACATCACAGTCCAGCCCTGAATCCTCACATGAGCGTCGTCCTTTATTGTGTACGAGAGAATAAGAGCAACTTTTCCTCTGGTTCAGCGTGTCCAGCGGTGGTTTGCACCAGGCTCCGTCCTCGGCCCTCATGGTCAACACCGACCTTCTTCCTCAGGGCAACGTTTAAGGAAATGTTTTATCCATGTCCTCCCTTTTCCCAATAATGAATATTTATAAGGTATTCAAACCCATGCTGCTGACAGCGACCTTCCCAACATGTCGCCATCTTCTCAAACTGGCCTGTTTCTCATGACTTTGACATCCTAATAGGCCCAAAAGTCCCATTTTCTGTATTTGGTCTCATTTGAACATTTGGGTATTTTGCTGTTTGTTGATGACTGTTTGTGATTGTGTTACGTTCAAAAGTGGAGCTTTTCGTCTAACTTCTCTTTGGGGAGTTTAAGCGCCTTAATTGCTCCTTTTAATAAATGTATTGTTATTAGGGGGGCCACTGCCCCGAGGCACGGCCAAGCGGGAGCGTTCGCGTGCGAATTCCAGCCGCAAACGGCGAGAAACGTCAAAGTTACACAGAGGGGGGGAGCAAAACTCCAAAATGCCTTGTGTAATTTAATTTTTTTTTTTTCTGGGCAGTGACCAGGTCCCCCACTGTCCAAAACACACAACATGGCCAGGTTTGGAGGAACATATTCCCAGCAAGCCATTGTTAAATCTAAAATGTCTTTTTTTTTCAGATCAGCGGGTGTCTCCCCCTGTCCAAAACAAACCAGATCCGCTCATGGTCAGCTATGGAGCTGATTGATCTAATGGTTGTGGCACCAGGCGGGCGAAGCCCGCTTAGATAAATTTAGTAAGAGCCTGGTTCTGGTTCTGGGGATGGGACCCAACCGGACCGGGGCCGGACCCAGCCATGTCATACCTCGTTGCTTAGGTCTTTTTCTCAGCTTTCAGCCAATGTGACCCGCGACCTTCTCAAACCAATTAGATTCGGTCAGCGGACCCCAGAGCTCAGCCGGGTCCCTCCATCACTGCGTCTCTCCTTCAGGCCCTCTCATAGGCGCGAGCCCACATTACTGAGAGTCCAAATATCGATTGGCCGCCCTGTCGGGCCCGACGTCCGAGAGACCTCGTTCGAACATTAAACGGGACACGAAAGACGGGCCTCCGCCATATCGGAGCCACGAGGCCAGATCTCGCACCGTTTGCCCGCAATCGCTGTTGACGTTTTAGTGAAATTCAGAAAATCAGAGATCCTGGCCCTCACTCTAGCTATGCTCGTTAAAGCCTCTGAGAGCCCTGTGGGGACGTTCACCCAAAAAAAGTCAAACTGTGGCCTCTCGCGACCAAACCGTGGGGCCGAGCGCTGCCAAAATGGCCTCAAAACGTATCCGCGGGTGTCCTCTTTCGCCCGATGTGCCCGCTTTGGACCTCGGCCTTACGGTTTTCCGGCAATCGGGCCCAGAGTCCAGACTTTCCCGAGCCTCTCCAATAGGACTTGAATGGAAGAAAGGAGAATTTTTTTT